TGTTCGCTAATTGATATCAAGTTATTGGAAGCAGTTGTGAATAAGTTTAATGTTAGTTCTCTGAGACCAGCTATTCAGGAATATGAAAGAAACATGAAAGAATTTTGTGAAAATGTGCCACTCCGTAGATGTCTTGATGAAAATTTTTCCGAAAGCTCACTTCTTTTATGTGAAACAATTACTTTCATTATTGATGGAGATGTTGATGACTACACTGTAAGTGATGTTAAATGTATAATCAGCAGAATTTTTTCTGACGTTGCTCCACATGTGAAATTGACTGTAGTTCGAGAAACTGAGTCCTTCGTTATTACATGTTCCTTTCAGCTCATTCATTCTCATTTACTGATTAGTGCTGCTTTTGAAAATATTGCCAAGACAGATATGAAAGACGTCTTACAGATAAAAATTGGGTATTGTATTGTTTATGATGCAAGAAACATAAACAAAGGTATAGTTACCTTTAAAACCTAAATTATATCTGTTAATACATTTAGATGAAGAAATATCAATTTATACCTGCAAAGGTGCTTTGGAACAACTGGTATTGTCAATGAGTATTCATCAAAACCTAAGAACATCTGGTTGCTTTACAGAAAATGATGTAAAATTTATTAATCTAAATCAGTTACATCTACTTAATTATAGGAAAAATTGATTAATGTGATGCTTGAAATAAAGAAGCTGAGGGAAACGCTACAAACTAATGAAAGATTAAAGCGAGGGTATATTTATGAGATTGAAACTTTGAAATCTGCTAAAGGTACAAAACTTTATATTATAGATCAAATTGTGATTGTAATCAAAAATACAGAAAATAAAGTGTTTTTATCTAGAGAAAAGGAAGCAAAAGGTATAGCAGCATAAATTTTGTCAACTTTCATCATAATGGTATAATTTATTCCCTTTCTTTCTAATAAATTAAAACAAACTAAAAAGATAATTCTGATTTAACAGATCAAAAACAGAAGAAAAAAGAAGATGAACAAGGTATGCACTTTTTATTTTTATCACTTTCCTATTGTTGTGATATGCCATAGCTGAGAGAATAGAGTTATTAAGAGATGAAATAAAACTTTTGCAAAAAAGATTGAGTGCCAAAGAGTCTGCAAATGAAGAAAGAAGTGGCAAAAAGATACAAATGCTAAGTTAGTTTTTATAGAAATTAAATAGGCTTACTATTTAGTTTCAATCAGGCATAACTCATCTTACAGAAATGTACAACTTGTTGCAGACGCATAGCGTTTCTGTTAAAATAAATTACCAAAAGTTGGGTTTATGTTTGGGGGTCAAATCTAATACACTAGATACTATTAGTCAAGAAAGTCATGGTGATGATGATGAATGTCTAAAGGGATGCCTTAAGGCATGGCTAGAGCAAGTTGATGATGTTCGAATGAAAGGTCCTCCCACAATATACTCACTGATTCATGCTCTAAGAAGAATTGGAAATTATGTTATAGCTGATCAAATTGATGAAGAAAGTAAACATAATTAATAATTATATTTATTAAGTATTTCTGCAGAGCACCCTGCTTGTGCTATTTTCAATGAGTATGCATCAAATGAGACTATTGTTAAAGCAATACCTAGTTTTATTGCGACTCTTCAGAATGAAAAAGTCATAACCCAAATACCTGCAAATGGAGCTGAAGTAGCAAAAGTGAAAGAATCCATATGTGCTGATCACAGTATACTCGAAAAACTTGCTTCTATTCTACAAAAATTTGATCGTACTAAAGAAGTAGCAACAAAAATGAAAAATGATTACCGTAAGTGTATAGTCTCTTCTTTAATTTAATTAAACTTTAATTTGCAGTTAAACACTTTGGATCTAAGTCTACTTCTGGTATTAAAATTATAAGTAAAGTCATATATTGTGGTGTTGGAATAATAATGCTAATTTTTAGAGATATCGATAGCACTGCCTGATTTACAAACAGTGAGAGCTGAGTATGCTAACATTGTGGCCAGTTGCCGTAAAGCAATGAGTACAATTAAATTGCATGAATTGAAAACATATTTACGCAATGGTTATGCTCTTCACCTTGATGACAGTAAAACAGAAGATCATGCACTTGATTTCATCTGTGACAAGTGTTCATTGGTTAACGTCACTCCTTTGAAAAAACTTGCTCAACAATTCAGCATTCATGAAGCAATTGACCTCATTCAGAAATACGATGAAGTTGTTACTAGATTTTGTGAAGAGAAGTTGCTGGAGCCAAACAAAGAGCACTGTGAGGCATCACATATGCAGTCTAAAATTGTGGTTGTTCCTGTTGATAAAAATATAAACAGAAGAAGTCTAGATGATACTAGAATGCTAGCATCACATGCATTCTCAGATAAAGTGCAAGTGCTTGTGATTGGAAGGGACACTGATTTATATTAACTTGTATATGCGCCTAGCTCTACATTTTAGTGTTCTTATATACTTGTAATATATAATGTCTTGTCATATATAATGTTTATTTTGTAATAGCTTTAAGTTCAGATATGTTATTGTAACTGCTGCTTTAATAATTATATATTTCCCAAAATAATAGTATTAATCAACAACAATTGCACTTGCAAGCCATGCATAGTTTACCCACACACATAATAAAGTAGATTCAGTGTGGATGAATATGCTTAAGTGTGCATATCTCTACACTGAATGTACTTGTACTATGTGTGTGCATCGATCGTGCATTGCATGTGACTGTTATATTTATGACATGCATGCACAACACGCAATGAATGATTTGACCTAGTTTTCCTGTAAATTTAATTTATTATAGCAGGTTTAAATTATAACACATGAACAGGTGAGGAACAAAGAAAGCAAGAGAGAGAAAGAGTGAAATAATATAAATAATAATTATTTTGATTATTAAAACAAACAGGCAAGACATAAACGTAAGTCACAGCAAAACAAGAAAAAAACAAAAAAGAGAGAAAAACAGCAAAAAGACAAAACCAACAGACTAGGCACAAAACGCGACAAGCAAGATAAACAATGAAATATTTACATTATGAAGCTGACAGAGTCTTTCTTTGTTCGTGGTATTGTACTCCTCTCAAGTGTACTGAATTTACGTGTCTTTCCGCCACTACCTCCGCCACTTCCTGAAACTTTATAAGTCTGTTCAGGGGAAGGGGAAACGGCTCTTTTAAGTAGCGGAGAAGTATGAGGGGAAGAGTTCTTTTTGGTCGCTGCGGTAGATAGGAAAAGCTCACTAGAGCTCACGGATTTCT